GATTGCCTGAGCCTGTGGGTTCGAGACCCGCCTGGGCAGGCAAGACTTCATCTCTACAATAAATCAAAAAAATTAGCCGGGGTGTGGTAGCACACGCCTGTAGTTCCAGCTACTTGGAAGGCTGAGGCGGAAGGATCGCCGGAGCCCCAGCAGGTCGAGGCTGTGGTGGCCGGGAGCGGCCACTGCACTCCAGTCTGGGTGACAGTGAGACTCCAACTCAAAAAAAAAAAAAAGAAAAATTATCCTATTTTCATTTTGCTCGACAAAATAAAATATTATTAAATAATTAAAAAATTATTAGCAGTCTTGAAGGAAATGTTTAAAAGTTCTACCATAATTTGCTTATTTACAGAGACTTAAGTGAAGATATTCTTTGCACGACCAGATTTGCATGCTGAGAGTTTTGGGAGGTATATCTGTTTTCTTGGATAACTATGTCAGGATCAGAAGAAATCTGTAGAGGATAGAAAATCAGTTTACTTTGGTAAGATGAAATGTAAGCTAATAGATGTAGCCTTGCTCTTATGTTCCAATAGTCAATTTCATTGTTAGTATAGAGAGAGATGGCTTAGCAGTTCATGTAAGAAAGCCCTGAGGGATTCAGATGACTGTGAAGTTGTATGTAAGTCTGTAGTATGATTTTGTTGCTACAGGAAATTAATAACTTGAGCATTGTGAGTTGTTGAGGAAGAGGGGCTTATCATCCATCGTGTTCTTATTTCTACTCATACATTGCCCAAAATATCCCTTTTGCCCTGAATCACGTGTTTGTATTGACTTAACAACAGAATGGATTGTCTGAAGCAGGGCCTGTCAACCTAAAGCTCCCAGACCACCTGTTTTTGTGAATAAAGTTTTGTTTGAACACAGCCATGCTTATTTGTTTACATGTTTTCTGTGACAGCTTTCTTGTGTCAATGACACGGTTACATATTTGTAACAGAGACCATATGGCCTACAAAGCCTAAAGTATTTACTGTCCAATGCTTTACATAAAAAACTGCAGTCCCTTGTCTGAACTAGACCTAGGTGATGAAGGAGTTTCAAACCATGGTGAAAGAGGAGCTGCAAAAAGAATATGAAAACAGATGAAGAAAGGATTTAGGTGTGACAGGGAGAGCTGTCTTCAGATATTTGAAGGACTGTTTAGAAGAAAAATTAGACCCCTTACCTGCTTAGTTTTGTGGAGCAAAATGAAAACAGGATAGAAAATATAGGGTGTCGGGAGGATTTTGCTAGTATATAGAAAAATTGTATTAATTTTGGGTTGAGTTGCTTCTGGAAGTAATTACTGATTGTTTTTGGTTTTTGGTAACCAGAGGCATTTAAAAAGAGACTGAATAACTGTTTTATCTATTCTCTTAGATGACAGTAGTGGTATGTTAGGTTATACATCCTCTGAGCACTCTTGTGGTTCTGAAGTTATTGCCTTGGAATGATTCTCTCAAACTCAGGCTGTGATCCTCAAGCTTTCTTCAAGGGTACTAACTTATTGTGATCCATAGTTTGTAGAGCCATGCAAGTTACACTACGTCTTAACTGGATTATCTAACCTGGTTGAGGTTTTCTGGTATATGCTAAAACATTCCAGATGGAAAATTTAACAGGTGTTAACAAATAACCTAAATCTAGTTTAGCATCTTTAAAAGTTTGTATTTTGTTTATTTTTTTATGCACATGGAGAATTTAAATCATTCTTCCTCCTATTGATTCACAAAATATTTTAAAGTTTCTTAGTTTATAGTGAGTGATATATGACCTTGGAAAATACTCAGGTGTGTAAGACTAGTGCACAGAGTTTTCTTTAGGTTTATTGTTTGCTGACTTTTGTGATCTCATGTTAATTTTTCTTGCTATGTTTGAGATCATCAACTGTTATTGAATGTCAAATAATTGAAATCTGATTGAGTAAACTGGCTTTCTTGTTTCATGCTACTACTGGTTTCCTGAAGTAGACATTTAGTGTTAAAGCTTCAGAATTTAGAAAGAGAAGCTTTTCAAATCAAAGTACCATTTGTTGAAGACCTTATTTTAGATCTACGTTAAAATTATGGAAAGCTGCTGAATGAGACTCATTCAGCAAATGGTTGAATTGAGAACATTGTACAGTTACATTGTGCACTGTATTAAGTATTCATGTGATATCTTAAACCGTTTTCTTCTGATCAGGATTTCTTACAACTTTCGTTCTTTGCAGTAGATGGCAGGCTGGAAATGGGTGATTTTTCTAGTTTAATCTGACCTGCTGGTTATATCACATGGTTCTGGGTGCAGATTTTTTGACGCAGAGGATTCCAGGGCCTGCTTACCTTGTCATCGGCAACCTTTAGTGATTCATATTGGTTTCAGGTCCACAAGTCTGAAGACAAATTCAGGGTCAGTTTAGAACTCTTTTATTCTGCAGAGGTTCCAGTGGAGTGATGTCTATTATGTGAAAAGGCTCTGTAAACTGGAGAGTATCCTACAGGTGAAAGTTGAAAGTTTTATCCATGGGGGGTATGTTCCAAGATCTCCAGTGGATACATGAAACCAAGGATAATACCAAGGATAATAAAACAACAATTATAGCCATATACTTTAATGAAAATTACATGAATTTGATCTCTCTCCCAAAATACCTTTATGTACTGTTCACCTATTTTCCAACCATGGTTTACCATAGATGAAGTGCAGCCATCCTTGGCCAAGGGGAGACTACTGTACTAATTTAAATAGGCATCTCCTGAAAGTCTGGATGCAGTTTCATGGCTTATAACTCTGACCACTAGCAGCAAGCTGCACTGTCCAGCATCATTTCTTTCTTTCTTTTTTTGAGTAGGAGTCTCACACTGTTGCCCACGCTGGAGTGCAGTGGCATACTCACTGCCACCACAGCCTCTACCTGCTGGGCTCAGGTTATCCTTCTGCCTCAGCCTTCCAAGTAGCTGGAACTACAGGCATGCGCTACCATGCCTGGCTAATTTTTTATTTATTGTAGAGACGAGATCTCATCAAGTTGCCCAGACTGGTCTCGAATACCTGGACTCAGGCAGTCCTCTGGCTTCTACCTACCAAAGTGCTGGGATTATAGGTGTGAGCCACCACACCCAGCATCATCATTTTTTACTACTGTCTGTCTCAGATCTTTTGTCTCAATTATCCCATCTTAGTCAAAATGAGTTAGAGAAATGAAAGAACCTCAGACATGGAGTTCTTCAAACATTTGACTTACTCATTGATTCTTTGCTAGCAGTATTTTAAACATTCTCTATTTATTTGCTTTTTGGTTCCATCATACTTTTTTTTTTGAGTTGGAGTCTCACTCTGTCTCCCAGACTGGAGTGCAGTGGCATGCTCACGGCCACTGCAGCCTCGACCTGCTGGGCTCCAGCGATTCTTCTGCCTCAGCCTTCCAAGTCGCTGGAACTACAGGTGCGCACTACCATGCCTGGCTAATTTTTTATTTATTGTAGAGACGAGGTCTCACCAAGTTGTCAGGGCTGGTCTCGAACCTGTGGGCTCAGGCAATCCACTCACCTTGGCCTCCCAAAGTGCTAGAATTATAGGCTGAGCCACGGAGCCTGGCCCCATCACACTTTTAAGTCTTGAAACACTGAAGGTTTTTCTTGCAAATTTATAAACATTCAGAATGAAATTTTGATCTTTAATTATGACTTTAATAAAATTAGATGCTCAAATGACTACTTATTTTGTATATATACTAGGCATAAATACAAAACATAACCAAAACTTCTTCAGACACTTGGCTAGTATAACATTATTTAAATGTCAGATGGATGAATTAGATAATATTAGTCCAGATAATACTTTGAACTCCCTGAGGGCAGAAACTGTCTATTACCAGTTTTGTATCTCTTCTTCCTCATACCTAGTGGACTGCTTCCTACATGCCAAATACTACTGTGTATGTCAGAGGAATAAGTTATCAGCATGACTCTTAAGGTTTTTCATATTTATATACACATATCTGTTAAATTTCCTTTGAATTCTAATTAGCTGAATAATTGAGGAATGAGCTCTATTACCACCCAACCCTAACTTATTTTGTCTTCCTTTGCTTATTTATGCAATCTAGTTTCCTGCTATATAGAGATTTATCATTCCTTTGGGACTCAACACTTAAGACTTATTTAGTAATAATAGCTAATACTTATATAGCACTTAATGTGGGCCAGGTACTGTTTTAAGCACTTGACATAACTTACGTAATCCTTATGACAATCCTTTGAGGTAAGGGCTATTATACTCATTTTACAGGGGAAGAAACTAAGGCAGAGAGGTTAAGTAACTTCCCCAAGGTCACATAATTAAGTGTAAGTAATGATATCAAGGGGAAAAAATAACTAGATTGCTGTAAGTAGAGAGGAATAAAGGAGGTTTGTGGTGTTTCAATACATATAGTGTACGGTTTACTGATCCTGCATGTAAGTGAGAACATGTAAGCAATATAAATTTTTCTACTGAAACACTGTAATATAAAAATTGATTGAGAGGGAAGGATGAGTCCAGTGCTTATCTTGGTGATTTGGACTCTGGATGAGTATGTGCAAATGAAACAACCACTGTTTGATTAACTCTGTGATTTGGGGTTGATCTTTAGACTTCCCCTGTGACCCTTCTCTCCCCCTCTAAAAGTAATATCTGGTTATACTTGACAGTCTTTGCCCCATTTATATTGCTACTCTGTTTTGTTATTCATATGAGGATATCATATAAATAGATGTATTCTCCGTGTTATTTTTGTACTCTTTCCTCTCTGCCTCCTTCTTCCCCTTTCTTTCTTAACTTCCTTTCTTTGTGAGGTGGGGTCTTGCTATGTTGCCCAGCTGGTCTCATAGAACTCCTGGGCTTAAGTGATCCTCCTACCTCAGCCTCCTGTGTAGCTGGGATTATATGCATGTGCCACTGTGCCTGCATGTACTGTTATTTTCATTTGGAAAATATTATTTTATTTGTTAATGGCAAAGAATAACTGAATATTTTATTTCATTTCTTAACAGTACAGTGCTGTGGATACCAATCCACTTTCTCTGTATGTCATGCATCCATTTTGGAACACTATAGTAAAGGTAAGATATAGTTAATAGATGTGTACTTTTTGTTTTAGTAAATTTTATTTTATGCAGTGTTGTAGATGCATCTCTAGAAAAACTACACATTCTTCCTTTCCTTAGTCACATACATTTTGATTTATCTCACTGTTGAAATCTAAGTTTATACTTTAGGATGTATCATTGTTGTAAAATGTCTTTTAAAATTTTCTCAAACAAATGTAATGCTATGATTAAAAAAGGTTGCTGATAACAGAATTATTTAAGATATACAGGACAGAAGAAAAATGCTAATGGAGCTTATGGTTTATTTCTTACTGTATATATCTTCTGCATATGAGCTTCCAAATGTATAGCTTTTTTGATTTAGCTTTGTATATTGTAATATATAATGGACACAGATTCCTCTGCTTTGATTATTTTATAATTATTTTGTAAATACAGGTATTTCCTACATGGTTGGCTCCCAATCTGATAACTTTTTCTGGCTTTCTGCTGGTTGTATTCAATTTTCTACTTATGGCATACTTTGATCCTGACTTTTATGCTTCAGGTAAGAATATTGCTTTAATATAAAATTTAAAATGTTTAAGTAGAGAAAAATGAGATGTGGTTGGTTATTTTCTGGTTCTATTAAATGCTTGTATTTCTGAAAAGTTTCAGATATTGTAATTGTATATTAGATGTCAGAATTGTACATAAAAGCTAAGTTTTGTTTTCACAATGTTATTTATATATTTCCATTACATTTTAGAAACATAATATTAACTTATGCTGTGTAAAAAGCAATGAGATTTTTGACAAAATCAAAATTACTGGGTTTACATGAAGATGGAAAATTAAGACTGTGAAATTTTGCCTAAAAATGAATTCAAGCAGGGCCCAACATACTTGTCAATTCCAAGAACACCTCTTCCCCTTTTCTAGGCATGGAAGAAAAACCCCTTTCTTCTAAAGGGAATGTGATCTTTTCTGCCCTTGCTTAGTATCCCTGCTTGCCTTTAGCAACTCTCAGTTTCCTCTGACAATGGTTCTTAGACATTAAATATTTATTGCTAAGTCTGGACCCTTTGGGGGAAGAGAAGCAGGCAGAACTTTTGGAGCTGGTTCCACCCTCTGTTCCAACATCTTCTCTCACACCTGTTCTGTCTTTATTCTGTCCCACAACCAGTTGCTGCTTACTATCTATGAGGGGCTGAGACGTTACCTTTCTGGTTTTGTCAGGGATCCTGATATATATTAGTATTTACCTAGTTCTGCATTAAAAATAGACTGTAAAGTACTTTATCCTCTAATTAACAAATAGCTTCTCTTTGTCAGTATTTACTGACTAAGGGCGATTGTACTTAGTTGAACTGTATTAAAATCTTAGTTGCTTTCCTTTTCAGCACCAGGTCACAAGCATGTACCTGATTGGGTTTGGATTGTAGTGGGCATCTTGAACTTCGTAGCCTATACTCTAGGTAAGAAACTGGTAAATACTTACTTTAGTCAGTGACTGCTGAATTAGCAAGGAAGCCACATACTAAGTTAACATTTTCTCTTCTGCTTAATTCATTTTGGCTAGGATTTATCAGTATCCTGTTCAAATGGATTAATATGTTTTTGAGTTTCTCTGTGAAAAATATTGTCATTCATTGCTAGATATTCACAGAATAAGGTAGGAGTTGACAAACTACTACTATTTGTGGACCAAATCTGGTCCATTGCCTATTTTGTAAGTAAAGTTTTACTGGAACACATCTATGCTCTTTGCTTTATATATTGTCTGTGGCTACTTTCCTCTAATAAAGACACAGTTGAGTAGTTGCAATAGAGACTGTATGGCCCACACAGCCTAAAATATTTATCATTTTGCCCTTAGCAAAAAATATTTTTTGCTTAATTTTTGGAAGCAATACTAACATCAAACAGTGACAAAATAGAGAGATACTATAGTCGAACACAGTAGGAGGTCAAATAAGGAAGTGATCAATTTCTTTTTGGTAGAGAGAGTAGTCAGGGAAGTGTATTGTACTAGACCATACTGTTTATTTTGACATCAGTGCCTTTCATTGGGATTATCTGCCTGGCTTGTTCTGTGTTCTTCTATTCTCCTTCCCTGCTTTTTCTCCATAGCACTTAAAACTATATAGCATGTTATCTATTTACTTGCCTACTTGTTGGTTGTTTGTCTGTTTTAACTATACTGTTTTTTTTTTTTGAGTCAGAGTCTCACTCCATTGCCCAGACTGGAGTGCAGTGGCATGCTCATGGCCACCCCAGCGTCAACCTGCTGGGCTTTGGCTATCCTGCCACCTCAGCCTTCCAAGTAGACAGAACTAGAGGTGTGTGCTACCATGCCTGGCTACTTTATTTATTTATTTATTGTTGAGACAAGGTCTCACCAAGTTGCCTGGGCTGGTCTCGAACTTGCAGACTCAGGGAATCCCCTCTCCTTGGCCTCCCAAGTGCTGGGATTACAGGCTGAGCCACCGAGCCTGGCTTAACTATACTGTTAAGTTCTGTGAGAGGAATACTGTTTTGTTCACTGCTGTATCCCCAGTATTGAGAACAGTGCTTAACACAAAGTAAGTACTCAGTAAATCATTTTAAAATGCAGTAAAATAGCAACGTCTAACTTCAAGTTGCTAAGATCTTTTCAGATAAAAATGACTTGTTTTCAAAAAACCAGTATAACCTGCCACATTAGGTTGGGTGTGGTGACACACACCTGTAATCCTAGCACTTTGGGAGGCTGAGACGGGAGGATTGTTTGAGCCCAGGACTTCAGGACTTGCCTGGGCAGTAAAGTGAGACCCTATCTCTACAAAAAACAAAAAACAAATGAACAACAACAGCAACAACAAACACTGTTACATAATTCAGTGCTGATGTGGTGGATGACCAGAGCTGCAAGAGTTTGGAGAAGGAAGAAATCAGTGAGGTCTAAAAGAATATGGGAAAGCATTCCCTCCTCTTGAAATGGCATGCTCCTTTATCTCTTAGCTCCTGAAATCCAACTCATTTTTTATGTCCCCCACTCAGATTTCATCTTGCTCAAAGCCATTCTAGATTATTTTAGCCCAAAGGGAACTTTTCCCTTTGCTGTGTGCTTTTATGGTTTGTGACATACCAGACTTTAATTATCGTGCTTTGTTCCCTCTTCAACTGTAAACACTTTGAGAGCACAATCTTAGTTTATTCGAAGATTCTTACAGTCTATATGGCACCAAGAATAGTGCATTGTAGTTGCAATAAATTTAATTATTATATTTGCTGAGCACCTACTGTGTATTTTCTGAAAGCACTTACAATTATGGAGGCAGTAAATCTGTAAAGAAGTGACTGTAAATTCAAACAGAATGAAAATAAGTGTTATGATTGAAGTACTTTGGATCTTAGAATAAGGAGAGGTTAGATAAATTGTAATGAATAATAAAATATAATTGATTGTTTTCTGGAGGCTTGAGAATTTGTGCTTAGTAGAACAACCCAATTGCTAGGCAGAATTGGAAGTATTCAGAGTCCAACTAGAGTGCTTCTTTCTAAGATCTAAAGTTGACACCATTTAGTATAATATAAAATATTTTGATTTTTAGACTAAACTTTGAGAAATTTTATTTCTGAAATCTTTGAATTATGGGAATTAAAGATAAGATTTTCATAGTGCTGGCTAGTAGCTGTACATACCATTCCTGTGATATGCTGATTTATTTTGTTTTTTTCTTTCAGTTTATTAAAGAAGACATATGTTGAACTTTTACTGTTCTATGTGTTTTTGTTGCAGATGGTGTGGATGGAAAGCAAGCTCGTAGAACCAATTCTAGCACTCCCTTAGGGGAGCTTTTTGACCATGGCCTGGATAGTTGGTCATGTGTTTACTTTGTTGTAACTGTGTATTCGATTTTTGGACGAGGATCAACTGGTGTCAGTGTTTTTGTCCTTTATTTCCTATTATGGGTAGTTTTGTTCTCTTTCATCTTGTCCCACTGGGAAAAGTATAACACAGGGATTCTTTTCCTGCCTTGGGGATATGACATTAGCCAGGTGGTAAGTATGTGTTCTGCCTTAAATTTTCAACATTGCCATGATGTTTCTGGAAAGTTTTTGTCATTCCTTCTGTATTGTGCTTAGGCTTTTTTGATTAACACCAATGTGCACTTTAAATTTATTTTATTTTACTTTTACTTATTTATGGAAAATTTCAAACATATAAAAAGCAGAGTAGAATAGCGAACCCTTATGTACCTGTTACTTAGCTTCAGCAATCAGTAACCCATAGCCAGTCTAGTTTCATATATATCCTCCTTCAGCCCTCTTCTCAATTTTAAAGGAAATCCTGATAATATGTTGTGAATGTTTTACTATGTATCTCTTATTGAGAAGAGCTTCTTTTGCAAAAACATAATCACAATGCCATGATTACACCAAAAATTTAATAATTTTTAAATTTTATTAAATCTTTACTCATTTGAACTGTTGATTTTGTAAAGATATACATGTACAATTAAATCGTTGGCTTTTTGTCTTCAGTGCCAACTTTTCAGTGAGTAGAGAAATTTCTTTCTCTTACTTTCATAGGCTTGCCATTAACTCTCCCTGCCTTTGGATCTTAGCTTTTCGTGTTGCCATTTTGCCCAATTGCACCTAAGCCTCCATTAAGAAAATCAGAAGTTGGAGTGTGTCTTGTTGAAGGAAGTGGTTGGATGGGCAAATTGAATCATCTTATGACTTAACTAATTTATGAGTTGCATTTGAAGTGCTCCAAATGATGTCCATTTGCTTGCTCTGTCTAGAACTTAGTTATTTTATATCACTGTTGGCTTAAAAAATATTTTTAAGGAGAAGAAGACTTGCCATATACCAAATTTAAGCATACTTCTTGCTTTTACTAAAATTGTTTGACTAGACTTAATGTTGCATAAAGCGTTATTGACTCCATATCTTTCCAGCTGTTAATGCTTCTTTATGCTTTTGTCTGCATTTTCCTTTCAGACTATTTCTTTTGTCTACATAGTGACTGCGGTTGTGGGAGTTGAGGCCTGGTATGAACCTTTCCTGTTTAATTTCTTATATAGAGACCTATTCACTACAATGATTATTGGTAAGAAGCTCCATGTTGAAGCCTGTTTTAACCATCACTTTGTTATCAAAAGACAGTGTTTGACTATAACAAACATCAACCCCTCTACCTCCAAACCTCCAGCAAACAGAACAACCCACAACTCTAGGATTTCAACCTAGCCTTTAAGGAAAGAAGGTCTCTTGGTTTTGTTTTGTTTGTTCAACACCAAATTTTTTCTGATCAGATGGAAATACCAAAATAGATCACACAAACCTGGTAAAATAACTATTCAAATTAGTCTAGCCTGTATTGGAGAATCCACATTTTAGGTGCCATTTGGTATAGGTTTCATACTTGTCTTAAAGTTGAAGATTATTAGTTTATGTGAAATAGAATAGATAAAACATAGACATTATTTTATAGTATAGCCACTCCAAAAATTAAGTCCCTATCCCTCTCAGATACTCTCCTTCTTATCCCACTAAATGGTAGTTAAAGATTTTTGATAGTGGTAACAGTTCCCTTTTGGTTTTAGCCAGGAGTGGGAGAGTATCTATAGGATAATTGACTGAGTAGAGGAGAGTGTTACTGGAAGGGAAGAGGCAAAGAGGAAGAGGAATCTGGGTGATTGTTTTGGATACTAGGAGTGGTACTAAGGACCTTTGTAGAAGTAAAAAGGCATACATGTGGACTATGCCTTGTGCTCTGTTCTCTTAGATAAAATATAACCTTATCTCTTTCTATTTGTGAACTTTGGCAATGGAATGGGAATTAGGTAAGAAAACTGTTGAGAAGATAATGTATTAAGCATTGGCTTCTAGAAAAGTAGTGGTTTGGTCCTTTTACTTTGGCTTTGGACTGCACATATTTTAGGAGCCACTCTGCAATCTACCAAATGTTTATTTTTTTGGTATCTGTATAAGCTGTTATTTCTTTACCTTGAAAAGATTATTTTTCTTCCACCATGTAGTGAATCTTTTGATTTAAGCAGCTTGTCCCATGGCAGGCTTGCTGCATTTTACATTGAATGTTAAATTTAAAGGTAAGACAAAATTATCTGATATGTGAGACATATTTTTGAATGTTAAATAGTATTTTAATAGGCACATAATTTTCTTCATAACTTATAAGTTTATGTGAATTCTTCTGTTTGAAATAAAACAAAACCTGTGGGGTTCTATATAAATAAACCAACTTTCCCAATACTAAATTTGAGCAAATACAAATGGAGAGAAGGATGTTAGTACCTAAGCAGGTTAGTTTCTGCTGATAAAATTGATGGTGGTGTGTTGGTTGGGGTGTACTAGAGCTCAGTGTGAGGAGAGGGATGATGAAAGGCTGAGAATAGATGGAGTGGTTTCTGTTGGCTATTATGGAAGGTTGCCTTCCTTGAGTACAACAAAGTAGAAAGCAGGATTCCTCTTCTCATTTTTCCCCCTTTTTATTGTGAAAAAAATGTGACCATCTATAGTCTTTGAAGTATTTCTACTTTTATATATAAATCCCTATATTCCATCATCCAGCTTCAACAGTTTTCAATACCAGTGTCAATCTTTTTTTCAAATGCGCCACTACTCTCTAAGCCCAGAGTTATTTTATAATATCTAATCTATTTTACTTACCCACATAGTTTCCATTTCTGCTATACTTCATTCCTTTTTATATATTTGACTTACCATATGGTATTCTTTTACAGAAGTGTAAGAACTTCTTTTAAGATTTTTTATAGTGCAGATTTGGTAGCAGTATATTTTGTTTTTACTTCTGTGAAAATGTATTGATTTTGACTTAATTTTTCATTCAGCATTTTGTGTATTATTCTAATATCCTCTGACATCTGTTGTTTCTGATTCAGCGTATACATCTGTGGCATTCTATATGTCATGTGCTATTTTTCTCTTGTTGCTTTTAAGATAAAGATTATTGGCCAGGCTCGGTGGCTCAGCCTGTAATCCCAGCACTTTGGGAGGCCAAGGTGAGTGGATTGCCTGAGCCCGTGGGTTCGAGATCTGCCTGGGCAACTTGGCAAGACTTTGTCTCTACAATAAATCCAAAATTAACTGGGCGTAGTAGCATACACTTGTAGTTCTGGCTACTTGGAAGACTGAGGCAGAAGAATCACTGGAGTCCAGCAGGGTGAGGCTGCAGTGGCCAGGAGCATGCCACTGTACTCCAGTCTGGGCGCCAGAGTGAGACTCCAACTCAAAAAAAAAAAAGATTATCTTCGGCTTTTAAAAGTTTGACTATGTTCATAACCAGTCTGGGCAACTTGGTGAGACCGTGTCTTTACAATAAATCAAAAAATTAGCTGGGCATGGTGGTTTGTGCCTATAATTCCAGCTCTTGGAAGGCTGAGGTGGAAGGATTGCCTGAGCCCAACAGGTGAAGGCTGTGGTGGCTGTGAGCATGCTACTTCATGCACTCCAGTTTGGGCGACGGAGTGAGACGCAAAAAAAAAAAAGGTTTGACTATGATGTACCTAGGTGTGGTTTTTTACTGTTTGTCCTTCTTGGTATTTGTTGAGCTTATTGGCCCTGTTGGATCTGTAAACTAATATTTTTGACTAAATATGGGAAGTTTTTAGTCACAGTTTATTTCTTCAGATATTTTTTTCTGCCTCTTCTCTTCTTCTAGAAGTCTACTTATGTGTATGTTAAACAAGTGTGCTTGATATTATCCTACAGGTAATTTTCTGAGGCTTCATTAAGTTCTCTTTAGTCTTTTTCCCTATTATTTATACTAGTAGATAATTTCTATTCATCTGTCTGTAAGTACATTGATTTTTTTTTTCTTCTGTCATCTCCAATCTGCTGTTGAGCCTGTCTAGTGAATCTTTCTTTTTTCTTTTTTTTTGAGTCAGGGTCTCATTCTGTTCCCCAGGCTGGAGTGCAGTGGCATGCTCATGGCCACCGCAACCTCGACCTGCTGGTCTCAGGCAATCCTTCTGCTTCAGCCTTCCAAGTAGCTGGAACTAGAGGCATGCACCACCATACCTGGCTAATTTTTTATGATTTATTGTTGAGATGAAGTCTCACCATGTTGCTCAGTTTGGTCTCAAACCCATGAGCTCAGGCAATCTTCTCGCCTTCACCTCCCAAAGTGCTGGGATTACAGGCATGAGCCACCACACCCAGCCTAGTGAATCATTCATATAAGTTATTGTACTTTTCAAAAGCTCTAGAATTTCCATTTTTTTATATGTTCCAAATCTCTGTTGAGATTCTTTGTCCATTCATTATCACTATATTTTCCTTTAATTCTTCAAACATACTTAAAATAGCTGCTTTAAGGTCTGTTTGCTAAGTCCAGCATCTCAGCCCACTTAGATTCAGTTTCTGTTGACTGTTTTTTTTTCTATTTAGTTGTATATCTAGCAGTTTTTGTTGTTGTTGAAAACTGGACATTATAGATAATATTTGTGGAGACTTTAGAATCTGTTTTGTTCTAGGATTTTTTTGTTTTTTATTCTAATAGGTATTCAACTTGTTTGGACTCAGATGGAGAAATTTGTCCCTTTATGGGGTATAGTAGCTCATGTCTCTGTTTAATTATTTTGTGCTTTCAAGTACAGCTTTTTTAGCCTAGTCTCTTGGGTGTCTCCCCTGTGTCTAATGGTCAGCTAAAGATTTAGGTAAAGTTGATACTGAGATTTTGATGCTTGCCTCTCTGTGGTTTCCTTGCTTCTGGGCTTTTTCCATCCTGCATCTTCAGCTGTTCTGCTAGCAGCCGTGTTCTGCCCTCTGACACTTTAAGCCAGTAAGGCTTCTTGTGCCTTAATCAGCCCAAGCTGAGTATGAATTGGAAACACATTTAGTGAAAGACACAGCAGTCTCACAGATCTCACCAAGAGCCAGCTCTGTCTTTCAAGGACAGCATTTCCTCTAATTTCTGCCTTCTTTTTCACCATGTTCCCTAGGTTTTCCTGTTGGCTTGCTTAGTTTAGCAGCCAGCCAGGAAGTTGGGCAGAGTTTATACTCAGATTTTGAATCTCAACTCTTCTGTTTCTCTCGCTCTCTAAAATAACTCCCCTTAAATTTCCAGTGCCTCTGCTGCTCTAAATTATATTGTCTGCCTCCACAAGCTGGTGAAGAAGACTGTGGCTTTGTACCATCTGGGCTGGGACAAGGGTAGGCACATACTTGGAGTTGTTCCCCAGAATTTCAAGTGTAAATGCTTCTCCAGTTTCTGTGTGCCTTTGACTATTTCCTGGTGCATTTAAGTAGTTATTTTTGTCTGGTTTTTAATAATTACTTGTGAGATGAATCACACTGTCTCTTTATGCCCCCATTAACAGACATCCTCCTCTCTTTAGATTATTTTAAAGCAAATCTCAGATATTTCTTTTCATCCATATTTTGCTTTCCTAAATTATAAGGATTTCCTTAAAAAACACACAATTATAATAGTATTGTCACACCAAGCCAGGCTCGGTGGCTCAGCCTGGGTTTGGGAGGCTGAGGTGAGTGGATTGCCTGAGCCCGCGGGTTCGAGACCTGCCAGGGTAAGTTGGTGAGACCTCATCTCACGATAAATCAAAAATTAGCTGGGCATGGTAGCGCGCGCCTGTAGTTCCATCTACTTGGAAGGCTGAGGCAGAAGGATCGCTGGAGCCTAGCGGGACGTGGCTGCAGTGGCTGGGAGCAGCCACTTCACTCTAGTCTGGGCGACAGAGTGAGACTCCAACTCGAAAAGAAAAAGTATTATCACACCAATGAAACTAACAGTAATTTCTTAATATCACCAAGTATGTAGTCAATTTTCAGATTTCCATGATTGTCTCAAATATTCTTTATAATTGATGTGTTTGTATAATCAACAAGTAGGACCTATACATTGCCTTTGGTTGGTATGTCCTTTATTTATTTATTATTTATTTATTTTTGTTTTGTTTTGTTTTTTGAGTTGGAGTCTCATTCTGTCACCCAGACTGGAGTGCAGTGGCCACTCCCGGCCACTGTAGCCTCGACCTGCTGGGCTCCAGCGATCCTTCTGCCTCAGCCTTCCAGGTAGCTGGAACTACAGGTGTGCACTACCATGCCCAGCTAATTTTGGATTTATTGTAGAAATGAGGTCTTGCCAAGTTGCCCAGGCGTGTCTCGAATTCACGGGCTCAGGCAATCCACTCACCTCGACCTCCCAAAGCACGGGATTACAGGCTGAGCCACTGAGCCCGGCCTATTTTTTTTATTTTTATTTTTATTTTTTTTTTTGAGTTGGAGTCTCATTCTGTCGCCCAGACTGGAGTGCAGTGGCCGCTCCCGGCCACTGC